CGCTTTACGGTAATCTATAAAACAGATGTATAGTGGGATGTTGAATTCCCTAGATTTCTCGATTATCTGTCTTATATTCAGCAGGTGTTCTCGAGTGCCTCTACCTTTGGTAAATCCAGTTTGCTCTTGTGGAATTTCTCTTTGAAGGAATGTTTTCAGTCTCTCATTGATTATATGTAGCATTATCTTGCTGGCATGGGATATAAGAGAGATAGTTCTATAATTGTCGCATTTATGGAAGCTGCCTTTTTTATGTATGGTCGTTATTGTAGATTTTGTCCAGTCTTCAGGCCATTGTTTGGAATGCCATATTTAGTTACAGAGTAGATGAAGTAACTTTACGCCGGTTTCTTCTGTGGCTTTAAGCATTTCTGCTGTTATCATATCTGGACCTGGTGCTTTGTTATATTTGAGCTTGTTGATAGCCTGTCTTACTTCATTTTCGAGTATATCAGGTTCTTCTTCCACCTCGTCAGAGATTTGGCTAACAAGCTCTTGGCGTTGATCATCTTTATATAGGTCCCTGCAATATGATCTCCATGTCTCTGCTATGTCTTCTCTGTTTGTTCTCAGGGTTCCAGTGTTACCTTCAATGGTCCAAGTTCTGGCTCTGAAGTCTCTTGTCAGGTAGCGTATTTTTCTAAATAGATCTCTCGGCTGATTATTCTGACCATGTCTCTCAATTTCTTTGCATATACTTTGATAGTACTGTTTTTTGTCGGCCTTACATCTTCGTTTTATTTCTTTATTGAGGTTTCTTAAACTAGCTTTTTCCCTTTCACTATGTACACCACTTTTACAAAGATTTCTTCTATTCTCAATTATTTTAAGAGTTTCATCTGTTATCCAGTGTTTCCGTTTCACCGGATTATTTTTCTTTGAGCGATCCACTGGTGTTGTTACGCAATGTTTAACAGTCTCCCATATTTCTTGTGATGTTCCGTTACGAATAGAGGGCATACTTTTCTGTACTTCCTGTAGAAGGTCTTCTTTCTTTCTTAGTTCTATCCTCTTTATCTCTTTTGTTTGTTGGGTGCTTTAAGTTTAAGCATTACTTTAGCTACGAGGAGAGTATGATCGGATCCGCATATCGCCCCTGGATATGATCTGACTGTTTGAATGGACGATCTCCAGCGAATATTGGTGAGGACGTAATCTATTTGATTTCTAAATCTATCTCCAGGACTTTTCCAGGTATAAAGTCGACGTACATGGTGTTTAAATCGAGTATTCATGATGGAGTAGTTGTTTGTGATAGCAAATTCGATTAAACGGTCTCCTCTTTCGTTTCTCTGCCCTATGCCAAACTTTCCCAGTACATTCTTTAAGTCGTCATTTTGTGTAGTGTTGCCAACTTTTGCATTAAAGTCGCCACATATTATAGTAAGTTCTTTATTTGGTATGTTAGCGATTGTGGTCTCCAGTTTTTCGTAGAACTCCTCGATCTTTATGTCATCTGATGTGCTGGTTGGCGCGTAAATTCAAAGTCACTCAAAGGTTAATGGAGCGATGCATGCTAGGTATAACAAAGAGAGATCGAAAAAGAATAGAATGGATCAGACAGAAAACCAAGAATTAAATCTTTAAAATGGCAGTGGGCAGGACATTTAGCAAGAAGAACTGGCAATAGATGGTCCACTAGAATTACACTGTGGTATTCAAGAGGAATCAAGAGACTAAGATGACGTAACAATTTAAGAAGACACTAGACGAGTATGTATACTTGGGACAATTAATTCATAAATCTGGTTGCTTACTCCCAAAAATCATGAAACTGGCTTAGGCATCTTTTGGTAAAAATTCAATTATATTCAAATCCAGTATGCCTCTCAACCTGAAGAAAAAAAGTATTTGATCGGTGTATACTACTACATAATTATAACATACGGCACCAAACCTGGACACCAAAGATATATAGCGAAACTCTAAAAGTCAGTCAAATGTCAATGGAGCGATGCATGCTAAGTATAAAAGGATATATAGATAGATGTGCTAAAGGAATAGAATGGATCAGACAGAAAACCACGGTCAGTGATGTAATCCACAGAATTAAATCTTTAAAATGGCAGTGGGCGGAACATTTAGCGAGAAGAACTGACAATAGATGGTCCACTAGAATTACATTGTGGTGCCCAAGAGGAATCAAGAGACTAAGAAGACGTCCCCATTTAAGATGAGTCTATGATATAAGGAAACAAGCCGGTACAACATGGCACAGAAAAGAAAATATTAGACAATTGTGGGGAGAAATGAAGAACGACTATGTAAGAGAGACTACACCATAATCGGTAGAATACGCTGAGAATGATGATTATATATATATATATATATATATATATATATATATATATATATGTGTGTGTGTGTGTGTGTGTGTGTGTGTGTGTGTGTGTGTGTGTGTGTGTAGGAATGATTTGTCAAGAAGAAGGGAAGTGACAAGAATTTACAGAAAAAAGAAATGAGAACACCTATAAAAGCAATTGAAGAACATAGAAGAAGTCTACATAACAAAGAGGTAAAGAATTTCTACCAGGAAGTTAAGAAATCCATAGAAACTACAAAGAGTAATCCACAGTATTTCAGAAATAAAGAAGATTTACTTCTAGGTGCAACAACAGAAAAAGTAAACAAATGGGCGGAATATTTCGAAGATCTATTAAATACAGACCAACAAAAGGAACTTGATGGAAATGAGAATTTGGAAAAAGATGAAGAAGGGACGTGCGAGGAACCAACTTTGAATGAAGTCAAAGAAATAATAAGGGATCTAAAAAATAACAAAAGTGCATGAGAAAGTGGAATCCCAGCTGATATTTTTAAGGAAGGTGGCAAAAGATTGAAGGAAAGAATATTTCACTTGACACTAATAATTTGACAAAAGGAAGAAATGTCGAAACAACGAATTTATTCAACCTAGTATTAAAACAAATCGTAAGAAAATCAAATATGAGCATAAACAGGACTATTTTCAATAGCAGGGAACAGTGCATAGCAGATGAAAGGAGCAGAGACTGTAGTTTTGAAACATTGTCAGAATTTGAATACTTAGGAATAACCATCACGAACACGGGAAGAGAAGAAAAAGAGACAGACAAAAGAATAATGAAGGGAAGCAGAGCGATAGGATCACTAAATTCATTGCTGAAAGCAAAAAATGTGTCAAGAACAGCTAAACTACGAGACTATGAGATAGTAATCAGACCCACAGTGATGTATGCTAGTGAAACGTGGATTATGAACCAGCAGGAGGAAAAGAAAGTAGAGATCTGGGCAAGAAAAGTGCTCAGAAAAGTCTTCGGAGGAATAAAGACTGCAGAGAATATATTGAGAAGACAGAATAAATAAAGAAATAATGAAGATGTATGGAAAAGCAGCAATTACGGCAAAAATACAAGCCCAAAGAGCTAGATGGCTTGGTCACATTATACGAATGCCAGAGAATCGAAATGTTAAAACAATACTGAAGGAGGGAGAAATGAGAAAAAAAAGAAGAGGGCGTCCGAAGAAGAAATGGTTGGAAGCAGTAAAGCAAAAACTGTCAGAAATAGGCGTGAGAAATTGAAGAGAGAAAGCAAGGGACCGAAAAAAATTGAGAAAAATAACCAAATAACCAACCCAGAGGTAGTAAGCAGTAGAAGTGAATGTTTGTGAGTTTTCGTGGAGTAAGTGTATCTGACAGAAGCTAATCCAGTAAAATATTGTAAGTGATATTTTTCTACTTATATTCCAAGAGTCACTGTTCAGAAGAGAACGAGAGATTCAGTATATCGAGAGGAGAAGAGGCTAGCATCATTTGAACGATACATGCATTTGAAGGAGATCATTAAAGACGATAGGCTCGCAACAATTTGTTGTAAGATTGCTGATAACCTAGGGGACTGCTAAGAATAGATAGTGTAGGCTACAAGGAACAAGGATTTGGACAACTCATCATCAGAGAGATAGTTTTACTATTCGGCAGTTTTTCTTTATTAACAACACATTTTTTTAACAATTGCTTTAGAAAAGATAGGAATATTTTGATCAGGAGATTTAGTACAACAATTTTGATTTGAAAATTTAATTTATATTGTATATACCATTAATTTTTGAAGGTTCACGTACGTAGAACAACATTTTGATAATCATTATATGAGATATTTTTTATTGAAGATATTTGAGTGTGAATTTTATTTCAATATATAATGTTGTATCATATATGTTTTTTATTAGATAAGAAAATTAAGTAGTGTGATAGAACCATAATTGCATCATTTAAATAAGTTTAATTAATTAATTGCTTGGCGCACCTCAGATATTTAATATCATATATATATATATATATATATATATATATATATATATATATATATATATATATATATATATATACTATAACTGGTTAAATGTAGAAAATTTAGTTAAATATACACTATTTTAAAGGGTTTGTGGTTTTTCTTTTAAGATAGGAACGAATAAATAATTCAAAGCATTTTAAAAAGTAGAAAGGTTTAATAACATTTAAACAATTACAAAATGTTTCTTCAACATGAAAACTTTTAACAAATGTACATAAAAAAGACTATTTACTATCATTTATGGGAGTTGCCATCATTTCAGTTTAGAATACTTTTACTTTTTATTTCAAGTGAAATTCCCATAAAGAACAGTAAATAACATAAAAAATTCACAAGACAATATTTTCATAACAGGATTAAAAAAGTGTAATTTTTCTTGTGCTAATAATACAATATCAAAATATAGTTAATGATTCTACTGCTATATTTTGATACGCCATTACAATTTCAGTAAACCTCATTTTAAATAGATCATTAAAAAATAATAAAGATAATTAACGATACAAATAGGTGAACGTATTAGTTTAAATGCAGATAATTTGTTGATATAAAAAAAGAAAATATTACATTTGGATAATATATTGAAGTATCTATAATATTATTGAAGTACTAAAAGTGAGGTTTTTAAGATTTAGGAAATTATAATTGATTTAGAACAAAAATAGAATGTATAGAGGGTTTTATTAAAATTTTTATAACATGAAATATTTAGGACATTAGAAGAACAAAGATATTTCTCTATGAATACTCTGAATTAATAACCCTACCTATAACCAGTCTTCTAACTTCTGATGTTCCAGCTCCAATTTCGTAAAGTTTGGCATCTCTGAGAAATCTTCCCGTTGGGTAATCGTTAATGAACCCATTACCACCTAAAATTTGTATTGAATCCAGGGCCATTTGAGTAGCTTTTTCAGCACAGTATAAAATAACACCAGCGCAATCTTTCCTGTTTACCTTTTTTTTGTCACAAGATTTAGCTACATTGTACAAATAACTTCTGCAAGCACTTAATGTTGTGTACATATCAGCCAGCTTACCTTGTATTAACTGAAACTCGCCTATACGTTGGTTGAATTGTTTCCTAACGTGAGCATAAGAAAAAGCAACATCACAACAAGCTTGCATTATGCCTACAGGTCCAGCTGCCAACACTAATCTTTCCAAATCTAATCCGCTCATAAGCACATACACACCTTTATTTTCTGAACCTAATAAGTTTTCTTTGGGAACTACACAGTCTTCAAATATTAACTCAGCCGTATTTGAACCTCGCATACCTAATTTATCTAACTTAGGACCAGCTTTAAAACCCTTAAAATGTTTTTCAATTACAAAAGCTGATATTCCATGTTGTGATTTCTTACATTTAGGATCAGTTTTTGCATAAACGACTAAAACATCTGCGTCTGGTCCGTTAGTTATCCAAAACTTATTTCCATTTAGCACATAATGGTCGCCTTTTTTTTCTGCTTTCAACCTCATAGACACTACATCGGAACCGGAACCAGGTTCTGACATCGCTAAAGCTCCTATATGTTCACCCGAGCACAATTTTGGCAGATATTTCTTTTTTAAATAATCACTGCCATTTCGATGGATTTGATTTACACACAAATTCGAATGAGCTCCATAAGAAAGAGCTATAGCTGCAGAAGCTCTACTTAGTTCTTCCATAATAATGACATGATCGGTGTAACTTCCTCCGGTACCTCCATATTCAGGATTTACAGTAATACCCAGAGCTCCTAAGTTGCCGAGATGCTTGAAAAAACTTCTTAGGTTATCAAATTTATTTTTCTTATCAATTTCGTTGGCTACTGGAGCTAACTCTTTTTGTGCAAAATTAAAAACTGTTTCACGTAACTGTATTTGTTCATCAGATAATCCAAAAATATGTTCATCAATAGGATAATACTGTGACACCGATCTTGAAGATACATGCTTAATTTTATTTAAAAACGTTAGTAACTTACACCCACTTAAAGCCATTTTATTATTCACTTCGCACTTTCAACCCTACAATAAACTATTTAGTAGTTGTTCATTTTTATCACAAATAAGAAAATATTACTTTCATTGCTGTACGTCTTATCTTCATTGAACGATAAACTTGTTTGTTCTCTGCTTGATGACGATGTAGTTGTATTACTGACAAAAACAGTTGTTGCTAAATGAATAATGAACTTGGAACTTTATAGGCCATTGACGTAGAGGTTCCGGTCACTGGGGTATAATTTAAATAAACGAGAACTTATTAACGAATAATATTAAAGAATAATTCATTAAGGTTTATATTTAGAGCAGCTGCAACTTTATATAAATATGTATTTATCTTTATTATTTAAAATTAATACGCTCGTTTTTTAGTTATGTGAAATAATTTAAAAACTTTATCTGCAGGAATATTGTTTTCTAGTTTTTATTTCCATTTACATAAAACTATTATAGTAGAATAATTTGATATTTAACAGTATAAATTAAGTTTTATATTCAGAGCAGGTAAAACTTTATACTAATGATTATTGAGTATTGTTTTCTTTTTATTTAAAATTGATAATTGAAATTGATGAACGTCCACTTTTTTAATTATGTGAATTAATTGGATAAACTTTATCTGCAAGAAGATTGTTTCGTAGTTTTTATTTCAATTTACATAAAACTACCATGGTAAATTAATTTAACATTTAACAGTATTAATTAAGGTTTATATTCAGAGCAGCTGAAACTTTATACTCATAGACCAATGAAGTTAGTAAAAAATAAACCTTTTTTCGTCACAGCTATATAGACGGGTTTGACAGTTAAAATGTGTACCGTAAAACGGGGTTACAGTGAACCCGAGGGTTACATTGAACAGTTTTGCAATGAAGATTATATTTTTCTACAAGTTGGCCTAAACTTTTTTTGGGGCCGATATATTTTTTGAGGGTTACAAATATGTTTTTTCTTGGACTTCCTGATAAAATTTCTGGCAGGTTCTCAAAATTAACAAAAATGAAATAAAAAATGGTTTCTGAAATAAAAGGTAGTAAAAAAAAATCTCTCAAACTTTGGTCTGCAGCCGGCGATATGCAAAAGATATCTTCTCATGACTAATTGTACACGATACTAGTACCTATTTGAACCTTATTCTACATAATACCGTAAATGATTAGGTTTTGAATATTTTTAATTCATTTATACAACAATATGTCAATTATTTTGGGAACGTGGGGTAACATTGAACGGCAGGATTGAACGTGCTTGGGCGGCGTCAATCGAGTTCCATCTAAATATTATTGTCTGGCGTTACGCTACCTCGTTTTGAATCATTTGAATGAAATTCACTCAGCTCAGAGCTCAGTATAACATTGGTTGGCTTGGCGGTAGGAACATTGTGTGGTTAGGAAATTCAGTTGTGGTGCAATAGGTAGTGTAGTGCGATAATCTCAGTCCAAAATGCGTGATTACCTTAGAAAGTTGGGTAGTCGATCATACAAAAATTACACCTCTGATACTTTGGATCAAGCAATCCGCAAAATTAAAACAAAACAGTTATCACTTTCCAAGGCGTCGAAGAAATACAAAATCCCAAAAGAAACATTAAGTCACAAACTGAACAACAAAAAAATGAAGGACGTCGGAAAGCCCACAGTTTTAAACAACGACGAAGAAAAGGCACTGGTCAAGATGCTTTTGAAAACCGCTGAATGGGGCTTTCCTTTGACTCACGACGATTTACGACATGTTATGAAAAGCCATTTGGATACAATGGGTAAGAGAGTTAAGCAATATAAAAATAATTTGCCTGGTATCGACTGGATTAAAGGTTTTCTGAAAAGAAACAGAGAAATAAGTGTAATAAAATCTCAAAATATAAACCCAAATAGAGCATCTTCCACTAGAGAAGTTTTCATTGCTTATTTTGATAACCTTGAGCAATGTCTAGACGGAGTTTCCCCCGATTGTATATACAATTTCGATGAGACAAATTTATCGGATGATCCTGGGTCTGCAAGATGCTTTTTTAAAAGAGGGGTGAAATACCCAGAACGTTTATTATCTCAATCAAAATCAAACATTTCTTTGATGTTTTGTGGAAGCGCTTCAGGAGTTCTGCTGCCTCTGTATGTAGTCTACAAAGCAGAAAACCCTTGGACAACTTGGACGGAAGGAGGACCCGATAAAACCAGATACAACCGAACAGCTCATGGATGGTTCGATTCTGCAACATTTTTAAATTGGTTTACTTCTGTTTTCCTTTATTCCACGAGACATGAAGAAGGAGTCAAAGTATTATAAAAGATATATAATTCTTTATAAAAGAAAAACTGCCTGATGTAGATTATTGTGGTCAAGTTCCTGAGAATTGCGAATAATTCTGCCTTCTATTGGCCAGAGGTAAATTTTTCATTGCATTTTGCATTATACCAAAATCGATTGTTGATTTATTTTCAGATAGACGACATTTCAGTCGTAAGTTCTTCAGATTTTGAGAGACTTCTGCCAGCTCCAGCTGAAGACCACCGCGGAAAAGTGGTTTTTTCGATCCAATTTGATGGGTATACTCTGGGCTAAAATCCTTCTAAAGACTGTCGTTTATACGTTTCCCTTATGTTTTGTCATTTGACTTGAAAATTACCAATTTCTTTAGTTTGAAATATGATTTTATAAGACTGTGTAAAAGAATTTAAAGTTTAATAAAAAAGAATGTAAAAAAATATTTTGTCAATAAATATAACCATTGAGAAAAAAAAACAAAACTCTCCCCACTAGTTTTTTCCGCTTGTTTCACTGGCGAGGTTAAATTGAACGAATAAATAACCTGTGGGCTCGTAGACACCGATTTATACTACTGTTCAATGTTACCCCGATCGCGGGGTAAAATTGAACAGCAACTTTTTTATAGCTATTTTTACATAGCTACGCCCAAGAGATAATCTAACGTATGTAAAGTCATGCTTCTATAGTGACCCATAAGTGGTATTTTTTTTATTCGATTGAGCAACAGATACAAAACTTATTCAACAAAATATGAAGAAAATGTTCAATGTAACCCCTTTTTACGGTAGTATTACAAAAGTAAATACAAAAAGAAACACTTACTATTGTTACTGGGCTCTAATTTATAACATAAATAAAATATTACAAATAATCAATTATCTTTTTAAATGGTGAAAGCAAAAGTTAAATTGGTTTCACAACAAAAAAATATGCACTAAACTTCCGGGATTAGAATTGGGATTTCTTCTATACACGAAGAAAAAGGACTACATCTATGGTCTGGAACGTTGATCAGCCGAGGACAAATATCAGTGAGGTAGAAACAAATCAGCGGTTTTACAAAACTGGAACCATTTTCAGAACTCTGATACACGACACAAATCTCTTAGATTCTTAGCAAAATATGTAGTGATTACTATTTTCTAAACTGACATATTCACAGAGAGTAAATTCCACTACTTTCAACAAATTTGCCGGGTTTTACCGGCTTAATTCAAAAACATCCGCTCATCACTGCTGCCCATTTCAACCTCCTTTGTAATTACACATACTGCACAAATAACTGTCACTACACACTAGATTTCCATTAATATGGGCGAAACACATTTCAAATTTTATGAATAAATTTGGATCCACACTGAAGCCAACTGCCCTGACAGCGACCTAAGTGAGAATGAGCAATTATCTTTAAAATGCATTCGCATAACTTGGCATAACAAAACACTTACAACGGGACAAAAGCAAAAGCAGTTGTTAGATATCTGTGTCAAAGAGTGTCACGAAAAAGGCCTTTTACTAATTTCTGTGGTATAGTAATCCACAGTAGTATTCAGATCTGAATTTGAATAAGTCTGAAATAGGATTTCTAATCGCTTTATTTTTTCTATGGAACACATTTAAGTTTAAATGTTTTCCAGCGATCTGGTAATAATATGAGTTTTAGCATAACAATATGAGACTTGTTGGGAACATAGCCGCTTTAAATGGTAGATTTTTCTAACATATAGTCGTGATTCCATCAAATACTCGTGCTTCTCATACTACTGGTATTACTTTCACTTCTATCTAGAAGTTTTATAACTTTATTGAATTATTTTTATAATTTGTTACTTTTTAGGTTAATTATGGACAAGCAAATAGTGGTCCTGCTATTATGCAACCTACACAAGAACCACCAGCCTACACCAGAAGCGGCCAACAGGCCCAAAATGTTTCAAAGCCTACCATAGATACAGCAGAATTACAGGTAATCATCAATATTATTTTTAAACTATAATGTTATTTTAATATTTTTTAAGTTTTATTCTTGATGGACCATAGTCCGAGATCACACAATACTAGAGCTTATGGCATATTCCAATCAAACTTAATACGCAGAGATATATTTGTAATTAATTTTATTTCTTAATTTGTTTCTGAGAAAGAGTTTGTCGATTTTTATATCGTAATAATTACATTAAAGCATTTTATTTAAATAACTTTTTCTTTGATAATTTTTTATCTAATCTATGCTGATAATTATATTTTAAAATTATTTTTGTTTGTTGTTAAATTTTAAATGGATGTATTTCAACTTCTTGCAACCAAATGTATTCTTTCGAGTAAACAATGCGATAAATAAAGTTTTTGAATTAACAGGGATTATCGAAAATCCTTTAGAATTTACTAATATGAAAAAGATTTTGCTTTCCCTTAATTTTTGATGAGAATCTTTTGAGAGATGATGATTTGCATAAATGCAGATGATGATATGGACATTATGACTTATATTATTATTTTATTGAAGTGAATACTTCTTATCGCCTAGTATACCTGTATGTTCTGAATCAACCTCACACCTGACCAAGTTGCTTGTAGTATAATATACATACATGTACACTTATTCCTCTGCTCATCGACTTAATAACTTAAAAGAGTGTTTCTCTGCTAAAGTCCTTTTGCCGTATGACGACCGATATGCAATTAACATATGATCAGTGGGCTTCAAACAGTGGGGCGTTAATATTTAATTCCGATCGCTTGAAAAGTAAATATAATTTCCTGTATTTTATGTTCAGTAATAATATTGAATTTTACTGTATCAAAGGCAAATAAAATGAATATTTATATATCTGTAACAAAATATCATCAAAAACGTACGTAAAAATATCATCTGTTGATAAAATCATCAAAAACGTACCCAGGTGCCGATGTTCCTACGGACCACAATTTGTTGGTATGTAGAATGGTCATGAGAGTAAAACGGCTCGAGAAAAGATCTAATTTAAACACAATCGATATTAAAAAACTCACTAACCCAGAAACCGAAATAAAAGTACGAGAACAACTAGGAAAGAAAATAAAGGACATTAACGAGAACACGTCGGACATAATAGAGAGATGGGATAAATCGAGGGAAGCAATCCAAACAACATGCGCGACTCTATTAAAGCGTGACCGACGAAAAAAGAAAGAATGGATGTCTGATGAGATAATGGATATGATGGATGAAAGACGTAAATTCAAGAATAAAAATGAAGAAAAATACCAGCAGATCCACAAAACCATAAGAACGAAAATTCGAGAATCCAAAGAAAAATGGTTTTCCAACGAATGCAGGGAAATAGAACAATACGAACGAAAATACGACAGTTACAATATGCACAAAAAAATAAAATCGATGACAAACAAGAGGAAATTCAATAAGTCATCCAACAGCATAAAAGATAGCGATGGAAATATCGGAGCCATCAACGATCTTAAAAATATGGAAATCATATATAGAAAAATTATTTGCATCTGACAGGACTGATGATCACCTATATGGAGAAGGAGAAACAGGACCTTCAATCTTAAATCGGAGATAGAAGATGCTATTGCAGCACTAAAAAACAATAAGTCAGCAGGTCCGGACATTGTACCCTGCGAAATATTAAAGATCCTATGTAAATCAGACAAACAGTTCCTTGATGATCTAGTTGTACTTTTTAACAACATATATATAATAGCGGTAAAATCCCGGAGAACTGGCTGCACTCAACATTTATTACAATCCTGATGAAACCAAATGCCCAGATTTGTGATGACTACCGGCTTATAAGCTTGATCAATCATGTCACTATAGCGTTCACTAAGATCATTCATAGAAGAATATATGATAAATGTGAGTCAAATATTGATAGATCGCAGTTTGGTTTTCGGAAAGCACTTGGAACTAGAGAAGCAATTTTCGCTCTCCAGGTGCTTATACAGCGGTGTAGAGACGTTGATAAGGACGTGTATTTGTGCTTTGTCGATTTTAGAAAAGCATTTGACAATGTCAATCATGAACAATTGATAGGTATTCTGCGAAAGACAGGTATTGACGACAAGGACATTCGAATTGTGGCAAACCTATACTGGGGTCAAACAGCAAGAGCAAAAATTGTCAACGAACTCACTGAAAGCGTGCAGATCAAAAGAGGTGTCCGTCAGGGGTGTATATTATCCCCACTCCTATTCAATATGTATTCCGAGGAAATATTTAACAAATGTATGGAAAATGCAAATGAGGGCATAAAAATAAACGGCGAGTTAACGAACAATATAAGATATGCCGACGACACGGTGATCCTTGCCAGTGTCATAGACGAATTACAACAAGTAATGGAAAGACTTTATTCAGTTAGTGAGGAATACGGCCTGAGCCTCAACTTCAAGAAGACAAAGTGGATGCTGATAAGCAAAAAGCAACAACCTGCTCGACAATTACGGATAAGTAACATACTAATTGATCATGTAGAATCTTATGTGTACCTTGGCACCAACGTAAATGCAAAATGGGAACAGACCATAGAAATTAAGGCGAGAATAGAACGAGCTAGAGCAGCATTTAGCAATATGAAAAAGCTTCTCATAAGCAAGGATTTGTCTCTTCCCCTAAAACTACGTCGAGTTAAATGCTACATTTTTCCGATCTTGCTGTATGGCGTGGAGGCCTGGACGCTGACGGAAACGCTAACGAGGAAACTAGAAGCATTCGAAATGTGGGTGTACCGACGCATTCTTCGTATATCCTGGACCGAACATGTTACCAACATAGAGGTACTCCAAAGAATCGGAAAGGAGAAAGAGATCGTGAATACAATTAAACAAAGAAAGCTTGAATATCTAGGACACATATTGAGACACGATAAGTACCGTCTGCTACAATTGATTGTCCAGGGAAAAATAGACAGTAAGCGAGGGCCAGGCAGGAGAAGACACTCGTGGCTCCAAAATCTGCGGAAGTGGTTCGGGCTCACATCGGTCGAACTATTCAGAAGCGCCGCAAACAAGATCAAAATTGCCATGTTAATAGCCAACGTTCGCAACGGACAGGGCACAACGATTATGTCTTCCGTATGTCTAATATAATTTTGCCATTGTTCTGCCTTTATTTGTTCTAGCGATTCTTTCCATAAACTAAGAACTCTAACGTCATTTGTTGTTGTGGATGCATATTGATCATAAAAATTTTTGGCTATACCCCAAATTAACTCAATTGTATTATAGTGGGAATGGTAGAGCGGAAGTCGAAGAACTTCATGGCCATATCTAAGGGCCGTTTGGTCAGTAACAAATTTCTTTTGAATTTTGTACTCCTCACACCTTTGAAGTAAATCGATTTTTAAAAATATGTCACTGTGATAAATTTTCTTTTCTGTCAACCACAACTTTATTTCTTCTTTTGTCCAGCTGCTTGGAGGAAATCTCTCTTCTACTCTTGAGTGGTAGGATGAATTATCCAACACTATTATGGATGGTCGCTCCAATTTTTTTAACAAATTTTCTTCAAACCATTCTTCAAAAATATTTGCATCTACATGTCCATGGTAATCACCTGTATTCTTTGTGGACGAAAAAATTAAACTAGCGTCAGGAATAAAACCCTCATCATTTCCAGCATGAAGTATAATGTAGCGTTTACCATTACCGGAACGACCGGCACCACTACATTTCGTGGTGCCATCTTTCCAGGAAGATTTTGACATATTTCCTTTAGCGAAAATCCAAGTTTCATCTAAAAATACAACTTGCCTCGGAACTATCAGACGTTTTATTGTTCATATATTTTCTTAAAAGCTGCCACCGTTTTGAAACAACATTACAGTGTTCACACAATACTTGTCTATTTTATTTATCTTTTTATATCGAAAACCTAAATGTTTCAGACTTGTTGACTTGACTTCAGACCACAAACTTGTTAAATTTATATCACACAGTTCTTTGTCTTTTATTTTTTGTAACACAACGAATTGTTACATGTTCTTTTGGCTTTATACATATTATATATAATATTTTTAAGTGCAAGTTGAATTGACTGGTGCAAATCTAAAGTTTATGGATGTCGACGATTTCTCTTGCTTACTTTATTAATATCATCCTCACTCATGTTATTAATTCTTCGGAATGTCCTCTCTGAGATACCGCAAGCATCGCATGTGCGTTTCTGAACGGCCATAACAGATGTCAATGGACCCATATTATTTTTTTCCAAATTGAAATAACTTTCGACTTTCAGAACTAAACGCCGTTCTTCTTTAGATAATACTCTACGTTTCGACTGTATTTTATTTTCTTCCAAATTACTCATTTTACTTTAAAGTACCGCTTCACTAAACTACTATAAGAAATAGGTACTTATATACAACTACTATACCCTAAAAACGACGAGGGTTGTACAACGGACGAAACAATCGAACACAAATTATTTAACAGCCGATGCTAAACAAGCATAAACACTGCATTGATTGTGATTGCAAAAACTGTTCGCATGTTTGAAATAAAATTTTTGTTGATTATTTATTTTGCTAAATTATTAAATAACACCAATACAAACCACGACCATCAATTAATGTTTAACGATAAACAGAAGTGTAATATGATGACAAGTTTGAATTTGATCTAATTTGTCGATAACAGTGTCGTTAACCAAAAGATATTTTTAAATAGCATGAATCATTTTTCAATGATTGTGTGGATTTAAGAAATAAATTTCTAAACAAATTTTTAAAGTGTGTATAACGGAGATTACAATTATTATGACACATGGTACTCGATATTTTTCAAATAATATGTTCTTGTAAAGGCATAACTTTGATTATTGAGTAAACCTAAATTATACGATACGTTAGAAGAAATTTAAAAAAAAATTAACATGTAATAAATTCACTGTTTAAATAAATATTCTGTACTGCAATAAAATATTAAAACCAATAAACGATAACTTGTTGAGCAGTGCTGATTGAAACAAGAGAGCAGTAAAATGTTATTCATAAAGGTAGTGTAAAATATACCGCCGCTTATCTGGTCCGCTAGTAATAAAGTTACCAGCATTTAATTGCAAAGCGGTCTTCTTAGGTGGAAAATACTTTATTTAAAAATTTTCTATACAAAACTGTCCCTTAGAAAATTTTATTAAATGTTAAGAATGTTTATTAATAAAATGAAGGGTGATATTAAATTAAATATAAATCTTTAAAAATCCCACACATTTTCCTCTTCGTTTTTGAGTTATTCGCAATTTTATGTGTGACATATTATGTGGGACTGTTGTAGTCATCCAGGGGAATGTTTTTCGAGTTCGAGTTTTTTTAACTATATGCTATACAGCCATCTCCTGGGGAATTATCCCCTTTTAAAGTTTAATTAATATTAATTATACGATGCCTTACAAAAAAAAATGAGTGCTAATATTGTACGTCAGGTAAAAGAATTAAATTAACTTCCTTTATTACATATATCTGGATCTGGTAATCTGTTGTGGAGCTAAGTGGGCAACCGCTATTTTGTTTATTACTACTACAGTGAACCCCGCTTCTCAGCCGCGGAGTTCTATGTAGTAGGGTTCAATTAGTGAAAACAGTCCCCTGGTAAGCACTTTTTTGACTATTTTCATAGTTTTAATAACCAGAATTTGTTTAAAATAAAGTATGTATTCACAGTTGTTTTTTAATCTGATCTGTTAAAATAATTTTATTTTATTAAATAATATTCATGTAAAAATCCAGTCCCCTGTGCTATGAAACATGCATATTTAATTGATTTTTAAATGCTTTTAAAAGCATAATATTTCGTTGGACATTATAATTTTCATAAAAAAACCCAAGGATAATGTATTTCATAACCATTACGAAGTAATTACACTTAATAGTACCAACTGAGGAATTGTAGTAGATAAAACTAGATACAGATTTAATCAGTGCTAAAACCTATACCCCGTCTCACGCTTTTGGTTCAGTATGGGCTCTTATGGACTATATACCTCTTTTACTATCATGTGCATTTTTCAATGATTCTATCCTTATTTACCGTTACGTTGTTGCCAGTTCCCTTTTCTGTCAAGCATCTGAATATTGTATCATGTATTGTGATCTGTAGCTATGATGTATTCAGTAAACCAAATTTAATTGTTACCGTTGCAGTTTCTGTTTTCATTATTTATTACATTTCATCATTATCTTTCCCAAATCGTTCTTCAGAACTTGTTTCAAGATTTTTATGCAAAATGAACATGGACCTTGGTCAGTCGTTCAGTAGTTTTTCACGTATCAAATGTATCAAATCTACGAGGGTATTACACTCGCCTTGAGATATTACATCAAATGATTAAAAAAATTACTCAATCCATACTTTGTTTACAGAAAACTCATTTTAAAAATACTAAAGTTCATAATTTAAAAAACTTCACATGCACATATAAAAATAGAAAAATGTAGATCATGCTAGTGGTGGCGTAGCAATCTATACTCGTTCGCAAACAGTCGCAATTACTATCAAAGGGCCTTTAAAAATGAACATATGTAATATATACATTCCACCTACACAAAACACAAGCAGTAATGAAATCTCAGCTTTGATTAAACAAATACCTCACCTTGTCTAATAGTTGGAGATTTTTATACACATAACTACATATGGGGATCAAAAAAAAATACTCCATTAGGTCGTAGAATCGAAATAATGTTGGACAATTTTCAGTTAAACCTACTAAACGATGGAAGAAATACTCATTTTGACATTTCTACTGGTAAATCATGTGCCATAGACCTTTGAATATGTGATCCAGCGTTATCAGCTACCTTATTTTGGGATGTACTTTCTAATTTAAATGATAGTGATCACTTTCCGATTGTAATAACACGTCCTATCAAAAATGCAAATTGGCAAGAGTATTATAATCTAGTTTCAAATGAAATGAATGCATTACATGAATGTTTACAATCAAATAATAATATTGATAGTCAAATTTAAAAGTTTTCCAATGTATTATTAAATGCCGCCGAAAAAGCCGTTGGTAAAATGAATTCCAAACAATTGAATTCGTCAGGCCTTGGTGGAATTCTGAATGTCAAGAAGCTAATAAACTCTCAAAAACAGCATTAAAATCAATTCAGGAAATATAATACACTTGACCATAAATTAGAATTCAAATGACTAAAAGCACGAGCTAGATTCATCATTAAAGTAAACGTGAATCACGGAAAAAGTTTGTTTCAGAATTAAATTCATCTACACCAATTAATAAAGTGTGGCAAATGGTACGAAAGATATCCAGGAAAATGCCCCAAATCACATTAACTTCTTAGAAGAAAAACAAAAAATATACACTTCCCCTCTAGACATAGCCAATATTCTAGCTAATAGTTTTGAAAGATTCTCAAGCGATGATGTTCTTCCTCCAGATTTTTTGACCAAAAAAGAAAGAGAGGAATCTTAAAATATATAAAGTATATATATATTAAATTATCCCATAACCAGGGATGAATTAGAATACTCACTCAATAATACGAAAAACTCTTCTCCAGGTCCTGATAACATCCCTGCAATATTTTTTCAAAAACTTCCTTCATCTGCAAAGAAACACTTGCTGAATATCTATAATAATATAAGGAGACATAGCAAGTTTCCAAAAATCTGGAGTTTATCTATCGTCATCCCTATTTATAAACAAAATCAACCAAAATCTCTGTCACATTCATATAGACCTATTTCTCTAACTTGTGTAATGTGTAAAGTTCTCGAGAAAATATATCTATAATTCTCATATCCAACAGATTAATGGGGTTTTTAGAAAATGATAAATTACTTGCCCCGGAACAAAGCGGATTCCGGAAAAATCGTTCAACACTGGATAATTTTATTAGTTTGAGTCTGAGATTCATGAAACAATGGCATGTGGACAAAAATGTATCATAGTTTTTTTTGTATTTTTTGACATGAGAAAAATTCTTCAAAAAAATTAGGTTCCTATACAAATCAAAAAATTTATTCTAGCTTGATACATTTAATACCATTACATATCCAAGTAATTGACATAGTTTTAGCTTCTCTGTATGCATTTAATGAGACCAAATAAATTTAAATAAATGGGGTGTTTTTATTTGAATCCACAATAACAAACAAAACAATATAACCTATAATTGCAAATTGCATTGACTCAATTATAAGAATTAATTTGACAAAACATAAATCAGTACTATTTACATTAAGCAACTATTGAAAACACTCTTTTATTTTCCCATTTAATCCATACTGAACAAAGAACGTGAGACGCACCTAAGGAATGCGTAGTCTGAAGGGCCTACTTTTATATAATATTTGCTTGAGACTCGTTTGTCGATTAGTTGAATTACAATACTAATTAAAAAATATAAATGTTGTTTTATTTTAAATTTATTTTTTTTTCTGTTTAGAGAAGACAAGAAGAATTAGAGAGGAAAGAGCAAGAATTGGCTCGCCGAGAAGAAGAAATGAGAAATTCGACATACAATGTACGACGTAATAATTGGCCTCCTTTGCCTGAGCAGTGTTGCTTTCAACCATGCTTTTATCAAGATATACAGGTTGATATTCCACTAGAATTTCAAAAGATTGTGAGAAACCTCTACTACCTTTGGATATGTAAGTAACTTGGCACAAATCTGAAATATACACATCAACAATGTCTAACTCCATTATTATTCCATTTTTTTTTTCTATAAAAACTTAAATAATACATACCATTCGATTTGAAAACTTGTTCTCTACAAATCAAGATGTGCCATGTAAATGAATCTGTCCATTACACTCTGCAAAAGCACAGATGTTTTTTTATTATTATTAAAATTAAACGAATTATTGTTAATTAAGTTATTTCTAGTTGCTTTTTGTAAATGTGGAGGATCAAAAAAATAAATAAGTTTATGACCACCCCTCTCAAATTCAGGATTTTCGCCGGTGACATTTAATTTTTTTGAAAGCTTAAAAAGTTTGACCTTAAATCAGTTAGAAAACTTTGAACATGTAACCCAGTTTCTGATAATTTGGTAACACATTCAGTGAGAACTTCAGTTAAGTCGCTGGCATCAAAAGTCGTATTAAAAAAAAAATAAACAATTGGCTGTTTCCAATTCTGAAACAGTCCTCAATAGCGGCAAAGCCGCTTTTTGCAACTAAAGACTGATTCTTTCCCTATATCTTGGAATCAAACAATTGTATCACGACCCAAATGAAAATAAAGATTTGACTTAGCTCAGCTTCATCTATGCATATACATAATGCAATTTTTATTCAATTATTCTGACAGAATACATTTTCTTTTAACTTCTTCTTCTTAGAGTGCCGTCTCCCTACGGAGGTTGGAAGTCATAATGGCTATTTGTATTTTTGAACTTGCTGCTCTAAACAAATCAATCGATCTGCATTGATACCAATCACGTAGATTCTTCAACCATGAGTTCTGCCTTCGGCCAACAGATCTTCTTCCGTGAATCTTTCCCTGTATTATGAGTCTCAAAATTTCATATTTTGGTCCCCCATCACGTGGTCTAGGTATTCCAGTTTTCTTGTTTGTATAGTGGTAATTAGTTCTGTTTCTTTACCAACCCTCTCCAGTACTTCTTTATTTGTAATTCTATCAGTCCATGATATTTTTAATACTCTGCAGTATTACCAGAGTTCGAAAGCCTCGATTCTTTTTAAATTGCATTTTTTTAATGTCCAAGTGTTAGCTCCATATAATAATATTGAAAATATATAACTGCGAATGGTACGTAGTCTGATCTCCAAATTTAGATTTTTGCACGTTACAGAGTGGCTTCATTCGTATAAATGCTGATCTGGCAAAGTCTATTCGCCTGTTTATTTCTGCAGTAGTATGATCATTGGTTTCATTGATCAAAGTTCCCAAGTACTGATACTTTTCTACTTGTTCTATCACGTTACCATTGATTGTCAATGGGTGATGTATATTTTGTGCTCTTTTTGTAATTAGTAAGTACTTCGTTTTTTAGCGTTTATAGTAATTCCCATCTCAGCACTATTCATACTTAAGCTTTTGATGTTGTAGATCTTTTATATTCGTTGCTATGATCACAGTGTCGTCTGCATATCGTAAGTTGTTAATTAATTTTCCGTTAACGGTAACCCCGCTTTGATATTATTGAGCGTGTTTTGAAAAATGGCTTCAGAATATAAGTTAAACAAAAGTGGCGATAAAACACATCTCTGTCTAACTCCTCTACAGATCTTCATTTCGTCTGAGTGTTGCCCATCAATTTGAACCATGACACTTTGGTTCCAATATAATGTTTGCACTATATTAATGACTTTACTGTCAATGCGCTTGTTCATAAGTATTGATATTAGTTTTTTATGTCTTACTTTATCGAAAGCTTTTTCGTAGTCAAACAAAGTACAAGTGTAGATCAACGTTTACATCCCGACATCGCTGAATTAATATGTTGATGACAAATAGTCCTTCTCGAGTACCATTTCGGAACCCGAACTGCGTCTCGCTAATATCCTCCTCTAGCCTTTCGTATATTCTCTTATGTATTACTGTCAGCAGTACTTTTAAAGTATGACTCATGAGGCTCAGTGTTCGATAATCAGAGCACTCTTTGCTGCTTGTTTTTTAGGGATGGTTTTAAATGCTGACTTTAGCCACTCTTGTGGTATTATTCCCGTATCGTCCACTGTGTTGAAAGTTATCCTCTTCCACTAGTTTTAACAGTTCTACTGGTACTTAGTAGAACTTAGTAGTACTCCATTTTTGTCTTTTATGTGTCCTTGCTGTCTATTTCCACCCATTTCAGTCACTTCTCTTATTTTTTTATGCATATTTCTCATATCATATTTTGTTTCTAGTTCTTTTATCTCTACATTGTTTCATCAAATAGATTTCCTTAGCTGTTTTGATTTTTTCCTTAATTATTAGTTGTATTTCTTTATATTTCTGTAGGTCTTTTCCTTTATATTACCTTTTTTCTTCCATCTGTAATAGTATTTCTTCTGTCGTCCACTGTTTTTTAGCCTCTGGCCTATGTTGTATCAACCTTTCTTGCGTTGGTTTCAGTAATGTGTTTTTTATATTATACTTCTTTTTATTTACATCCATAATTTGTTTGTTGTCAGTTAGTGTTTTTTGAATATTAACATTTACATTATTTTTTAATTCGTTTTTTATTTTTCGTTTTTTAGCATTCTTACATTAATTTTTGGTTGTTGTTGTCTGAGTTCAATTCTTTTTATTTTTATTTTCACGTCAACAACTAACGGATTGTGGTCTGAGTTAACATCTGCTCCAGAATAAGTTTTATCTGAGGTTATAGAGTTTTTATATCTGCTATTTATAAGCATAAAGTCTATCTGGTTTCTGACAATGTGGTTTTCTCTATGTGAAGGAGACGTCCATGTATATAGTCTTCTCTTAGGAAGCTGAAACCAAGTATTGGCAATTACCATATTCTTTTCTTGGCAGAATTCTATGAGCCTTTCTCCTCTGTCGTTTCTAGTTCCTAATCTGAACTGTCCGTATATTTTCAACTGTACCTACTCCAATTTTTGCATTTATCATCATCATCACACAGCCAAATTTGTCCACTGTCGAACATAGGCCTCCTCAAGATGTCTCCACTCTTCTCTGTCCTGTGCAGCTGCGATCCAGTTTGTCACTATTCTTTTAATGTCGTCCGTCCATCTGGTAGGTGCTCTTCCACGATTTCGCTTGTCTGCCCTTGGCCGCCATTCTAAAATCTTCTTTGTCCATCTGTTGTCTCTCTGTCGTGCGACGTGTCCTGACCATTTCCACTTCAACTTCGTAATCCGTTTTATGACGTCTTCCACTCCAGTTCTTCGCACTGGTTAAATGCTTTTCTCTTTAGCTTTATTGGGATGTTTTCCTTAACCACGTCTTTTAGCTTGCCATAGGCTGCCCATCCTAAAGCTATTCTTCTAGATAATTCGCATGTTTGGTTGTCTCTACTTATTTGTATTTCGTGGCCCAGATATATGTATTTGTCAACCGTTTCAATATGCCAGTTTTCTAGTTTCAATGGTCCACTAGGTACTAAGTTGGTCATCATTTTAGTTTTCGCAAAGTTTATTTCCAGCCCTACTTTTTGGGAGACTCGTTGTAAATCTTGTAGCATTTCGTTGGCCTCCTTTAAGTCGTCGGTTATTAGAACTATGTCATCTGCAAATCGTAGGTGGTTCAGCCTTTCGCCATCGACACTCAAACCTCTGTTTTCCCATTCTAACATCTGGAATGCATGCTGCATTACGGCATTGAATAGTTTTGGTGACATGTTGTCTCCTTGTCTATCTCCCCTTTTTAGTTTTATTTTTTGAGTAGGGGTGTGGAGGTTTATTGCTGTTGTGGCATTTGCATATATATGTTGAATAATGCTGGTATATCGGTAGTCGATTCTACAATCTCTCAAAGCTCTTAAGATAGCTACCATCTCGATAGTGTCAAAGGCTTTTTTATTGTCAACAAATACTAGAACTAGTGGCCGGTTGTACTGTATAGTTTTTTTCAATTAGGGCCTTTAGACAAGTTAGATGGTCATTTTTACCATACCCAGGGCGGAAACCTGCCTGTTCTCTTGGTTGGCATGTTTCTAGTTTGTTCTCAATTCTGGCAGTGATAATTCGAGCAAATAATTTATACAGGTGACTTAGAAGACTGATTGGCCTATAGTTTTCGAGGTCTGTTTGATCTCCTTTCTTATGCATGAGGAGCGTTATAGAATTATTCCATTCAGCTGGTATTGCTTGGTTTTCTAAGCATATATTGAAGAGCTGCTTGATTGTCCTGATGAGAGCAGAGCCTCCGATTTTTAGCGCATCCGCTACTACTCCATCTTCTCCTGGTGCTTTGTTTTTTTTTTTTCATTTTCTTTAGAGCGTGGTAAATTTCAGCCATTGATATGTCGGGAATATCTTCTGAATCTTGATTCATAATTTTTTGTTCTGTATGTTCTGTCGGGTTTAAGTCCAATTTATTTGTGTATAGTGTTTTATAGATGTCTTCTACTATCTCTAGCATTTCGTCTCTGTTGGACGTTAGTTTGCCATTCTTTCCCTTAAGTCTGATGATTTCTTTTCTGCTGTTCGTCAATTTCCTTCTTAATATCTCATGCTCTTGTTGTGCTCGATTGTCTGCGAGATTTTCTCATTTTTATATGCCCTTATGTCCTTTCTAATTGCTTTTGAGACCTCTTTGTTGATTTTATTTATGCTTTGTTGTTCTATACTCTTATCTTTTAGCATTTCTCTTCTTTCTTCCATTTTAAGTTTGGTGTTAGCAGTGATTCTCTCCTCTCTCTTGTTACCTGTAGAACATTTTCTTTGAGCTTCTGCTATGGTATTAGTAATTACTTTATTTAGCTGATTTATATCATTTGTGGGGGGCCTGTTTTGTAGACGTACCGTTATTTGATCTGCAAACTCTGTTTCATTTTTTGGTTGTGACCATGCTTTCAATTTTTTCTTACTTATTAGTTTATTTCTCTCTTTATCGATGTTAATTTCTATTCTAGCGCGAACCATTCTGTGGTCACTTCCTGTTGTGAAGCTGTTGAGTACAGTGACATCTTTAACTATAAATTTTTTATCTGTTATTATATAGTCAATTTCATTTTGCGTTCTCCCGTCCGGGCTTCTCCATGTCCACCTTCTATGTTGTTTTTTGTAAAAGAAGCTATTCATTTGATATAATTTGTTCTGAAGGAGATAGTTTAATAAAGTTTGTCCGCGTTCATTTCTTCCATCGCTGCCGAAGTTTCCAAGTACAAATTCTGATGGATCGGATTTCATGCCAATTTTTTGCGTTCATATCACCACATATGATTGTAAAATGGGTGTGATTTTCTTTCAGTGCTTGTGTTATTTCGTTATAGAAAATGTCTATTTCCTCTTCGCTATGGTCTGTGGTTGGCGCATAAGTCTGTATTATTTTGATGTTATATCTGTCGTTCAACTTTAGAATGACGTATATTACTCTCGTGGATATACCATGTATTGTATGGATTCTACTGTACAGCTGTTTATTTATGAGGAAACCTACACCTCCCACTGATTTGTTCTCTTCACCGAAGTGGTAGAATATATGGCCAGATTTTAATCTCTGTAGGTGTTCGCCATGTCTTCTTACCTCGCAGAGCCCAATTACGTCCCAGCTGATCTTTTCCATCTCCAGCTCCATTTCAGTGATCTTGGCTTCTGACAGTAGCGTTCGAGCATTGTACGTTGCGACATTCATCTTAAATAATTTATGAGTCAAGGTCAATTTTTGCATTAAAGTCTGCTAAAATGTAAGTAATATCTCTATATTTTGTCAACTTGATTGTATTGTGCAATTCTGAATCAAACTTTTCGATCTCATCGTCGGTCTTATCAGCTGTGGAAGCATAGACTTGGATCATATTAATATCACAGTTCCGTGCTGGGATTCTTAGCATTATTATTCTTTCTCAAATTTCAATCATACCTAGCACTGATTTTCTAGTAGTGTTGCTTATGATGAAAGCTACTCCGTATCGATGATCAGTTTTGTCTCCTCCAGTGTAATAAATATCGTGGTTATTTATTGATATCTCTCCATTTCCTGACCATTGTACATGGCTAACTCCAAGTATATCTTTATTTAGCCTCTCTTTTTCTTTATTAACATTATGTAGTTTTACAGGCTGATACATACTTCTTACATTCCAGGTAGCTATTTTTATTTGAGAGGATTGAGTATTTTTTTATAAATAATGTAAATAATGATAGTCTTTTATATTATACAACCGTAGGCAATTGTTGTGCGCGCGTATATTCCAGTGCTATAATTCTTAAATCAGGTCCTGATGCGCTGCTCGGGACAAACCGGCAACGTGTTCGGTTGTTCTCCAGTAAGAAGTAAATGGCCTATCTTACCTGCACTGCATTCTAACTGTGGCTTCTATTATAGTAACTAAAATCGTATCTATTAATTTCAAAACCCAATGAAACTTGATGTATATATGAGGAAAAAAACTTTGTTTTCCTTAGACATTTTTGATGTGTTTAGTTTGTTAAAGGACAATATTTACTAACTATTTTATATTTTTTAGATCACGGTTCTGTTATGATTTTAAATATAATAGGTGGAATAATTCTAGAAGATTTTACCATCGTTGGCTTAGGGATACTGTACTGTTTGTTATTTACACCATTCGGATACTTGTGTTGGTTCAGACCAGCATATAAAGCATTTCGTTCGGATTCCTCATTCAATTTCATGGTATTTTTCTTCATATTTTTCTTTCAATTTGTAATAACTACAATACAAACCATAGGCATCCCTCATTCGGGCACAATGTAAGTGATATTTGATTTATTTTCAATAAACTTGCTAGTGAATATAGAATATTGACTAAAAAGGATTTTAGAATTTACTTTTGTATAACTTTTTAGAGGAATTATCACTGCTCTTGCGACATTTAAGAATACAGCATGGAGTATTGTCCAAGGAATAATAGCTTTAATAATCGCCATAGGATTTGGATTGGCAGCAACTGCTGATTTACTTTTGATCTCTAAGGTAAATAAATGAAATACCATAATTTAGCGATATATTGATACGAACTCACTAGAATTACACTTCTATGACAATAATACATTGAAAAACAATTTAAAAAGTTCTAAGAATTTTATCTAAACAGCGAGTCATAAGTTAGGGATATAGCTAAATATTAAATAAATAATGATACAACAATTATACAACTGTATAAATCAATTAAGTCACTTATCTTTATCAACAAGTAACACTAGTTTTTTATTTTTTATTCAGAGAAATAAATAATTTTTTTTTATAATTATGTTTATTTACAATCTTATTGTGACTGGACCATTGTTGAATAATGCCCTTACTAGCTCATTTTCATGGTGAATGGTACGTTTATTTTGTGACTCCGTGGCTCGATGGATTTCTTCTCTGATGAAAGGAATCTTTAAGTCGTGGTAAAGTGTTTGATTACTTACGTACCATGGTGCATCCACTATCGACCTTAGCACTATAGACTTGAATATGTGGATAATATTCAGCCACGTTGGCTTTGCACAGCCCCATAGATGTAGTACGTAGAACCAGATAGGTTTGAGTATGGCTTTGTATAGAAGAATTTTATTTTGGATGTTAATTTTTGATTTACGTCCAAGAAGCCAATACATTGCTGCCTTTTGTTGTTCTGAATATGTTTCTTCCAAGTGAGACGTTGGTCAAGATGGAGGTCAAGGTATTTAGCATCTGTTACTGTTGGTATTCTTACATTTTCCATCCTTACAGGTGGGCGTGACGGTTGGTAAATGTTTTTTGAGTTGATTTTGTTTTATTTACTTTTGTTCTCCATTTTGTATACCAATCACTGAGTATGTTCAGATGATGTTGCAGATTTTGCGAGGCTTATATGGGATCTTCATTTACAGCTAGTATTGCTACGTCGTCAGCTTCTTCTTCTTCTTTAAGTTCCATCTTCTATCGAAGGTTGGAAATCATCATGGCTATGCGGACTCTGTTGACTGCCGCTCTAAAAAGTTCTGCACTACTGCAATCAAACCATTCCCTTAAGTTCTTAAGCCAGGATATTCTTCGTCTTCCCACATTTCGCTTTCCTCGGATTTTGCCTGCATAATAAGTTGTAATAATGCGTATTTTTGCTCTCTCATCACATGTCCCAAGTACTCAAGTTTTCGTCTTTTAATAGTTAATAGTATTTCCGCCTCATTTCCTATCCTTCTAGTTACTTCCATGTTTGACATTCTTTGAATCCATGATATTCGTAGGATTCTTCTGTAACACCAAAATTCAAAGGCGGCCAACTTATTCAGATGAACTTGTTTTAGTGTCCAAGCTTCCAGACCACAAAGAAGAGTAGAGAACACGTAACATCGAAGCATTCTCAGGCGTAGTTCTAACCTTATATCCCGACAACAAAGAAACTTTTTAAGTTTAATAAATGATGTACGTGCTATTTCAATACGTGTCTTAATTTCTTTGGTTTGGTCTACATCTGATGTTATCCATGTTCCTAAGTATTTATAGTTATTAACACTCTCAATTGCAGTATCTTCAATAGTCAATTGGATATTTGCATGTACAGATTTAGTCATGATCATGCATTTAGTTTTCTTTAAATTCATCTTCAGTCCGTACTCATGACAGCGTTCATTAAGGCGTTGCATTACGTTCTGTAAATCATTGGTGTTATCCGTAATTATTACTGTATCGTCTGCAAAACGTAAGTTATTCAATACTTCTCCATTGATAGATATACCTTCTATTGAGTCTGAGAGCGCTTCTTGAAATACCGCTTCACTGTAGACATTGAAAAGTAGTGGGGACAGCACGCAACCCTGGCGGACTCCTCTCTGTATTTTGATATTTTCGGTTTACTGGCTGTCAACTCTTACCTTGGCAGTTTGATTCCAATATAAATTAGATATAATTTTCAGATCACGACTGTCAATATTTTTGCTTTTTACGTCGTCAGCAAAGGAAGCGATTGTAGTATTGTTAGTGTCTGGTATATCGGCTGTGGAGAGTGAGAAAAGCAGCTGCCCTAGAACACTACCCTGCGGGACTCCGGAGTTGATAGGACAGAGGTTGGATTGTTGGTCTTTGAATTTTACAGAGAAATATCTCTGAAATAGACAAAAATATAATAATGGGAGGAACAGTTGTGTATGGTTTCTTAAGCTTCTTAGTCGCTTTCCATAACGTCGGTCATTTGCTGTAAGGTTTGTAATGTAATGTTCGAAGGTTTCGTTGTTTGCGGCATTGATGGCTACTCCAAGTTGCCTTCTTTTTCTTCTTCTTCAGGTGCCATCTCCGCTACGGAGGTTGGCAATCATCATAGCTATCTTAATTTTTGAGGCAGTAGCTCTAAATAGTTGTTTTGAGCTGCATCCAAACCATTCTCTCAGGTTCTTCAGCATGAAATTCGTCTTCTTCCGATGCTTCTTCTGCCATCTATTTTTCCTTGCATTATGAGTCGCAGGATGCCATACTTATCGCCCCGCATCACATGTCGAGATACTGTAGCTTTCTTTCTTTAATTGTAAGTTTAATTTCCTTCTCTTTGCCTATTCTTCTCAGTATTTCATTGTTTGTAACTCTATCTACCCAGGAAACCCTCATAATTCTTCTATAGGTCCACATTTCAAAGGCGTTAAGTCGTCTCATGGTATCTAGATTTAACGTCCATGATTCCACTCCATAATATAGTATACTGTATACGTAACATTTTGTTAGGCGTACTTTAAGAGCTAATGTTAGATCTTTGCCACATAGGACCTTTTTCATTTTTATAAAATTAGAACGTGCTTTTTCGATTCTGACTTTGATTTCTGCCGTGTAGTCATTATTTTCTATTATAAGTGTTCCTAGGTAAGTGTACTTTTTTACTCTTTCGATCTGCTGGCCCTCTACTATCAAGATTTCGTTAGTATTATAGTTGTTTTTACAAATTTTCATAAACTTCGTCTTTTTGACATTAAGAGAGAGTCCATACTCCCTACTACACATGACTATTTTGTTCATGAGTCTTTCCAGGTCTTGTAAACTATCGGCTATTATTAATGTATCATCTGCATATCTGATGTTGTTAATTAAGACTCCATTTACTCTTATGCCGACTGTTTCATCTTCCAGAGTTTCTCGAATTACCTCTTCAGAATAGGCGTTAAATAATAAAGGTGATAGAATGCAGCCTTGCCTGACTCCTCTCTTTATTTCCATTTCTTCATATGTTTCTTTTTCGATTCTTACTATTGCTCGCTGATTGTAATAGAGGTGTGTTATTAGCCTTAAATCTCTTTCATCTAGGTTTTTATTTTTTAGAATTTCCAGGAGTCGATCATGTTTTACTTTATCAAACGCTTTATTGTAGTCGTATAAAACAGACGTAAAGAGGACGGTTAACATCCAAACATCTCTGTGTCAGCACATTGAAGGAGAATAATGCCTCTCTGGTACCCATACCATTGCGGAACCCATATTGAGTGTCACTAATATCCAGCTCCAGTTTAGAGTGTATTCTGGCGTGGATAATTTTCAAGAGAATTTTCAAGGTATGTGACATTAAGCTTATGGTTCGATAGTCACTACACTCTTTGGCATTCACTTTCTTTGGCAAACACACAAATGCTGATGTCAACATTTCTCTAGGAATGATTCCCGTAGTATAGATAGCGTTGAACAGTTCTACTATTATGTCCAGGTTTTTCTCGTTGACCAACTTTAGTAGCTTGCTTGGTAATTCATCTGGACCAGCAGATTTATTGGTTTTCATTGAGTTTAATGCCTGACTAATCTCTGATTTGGTTATCTCTGGACCTACATCTCCCGTTTGGCTATCTACAGATGTACTAGCTTCTCTCTGGTCATGAAATAATTCTTCGATGTACTCTTTCCATCGTCGTAGATTTTGTTCTGTTTCCAATATAATATTTCCATTTTTGTCGAGCAATATATTTGAGGTTCTTCTATTTCCTACTCCGGCTAGTTCTTTGACTTTTTATGTAGGTTGAAGTTGTCATATCTGTTTTGAAGTTCTTCTATTTCTTTACATTTTTCAGAGAAGTAGGTCTCTTTAGCCTCCCTAATTTTTCTTCTTATTTGGTTTTGAAGCTGTTTATAGCGCGTCTTATTGATGGTTTTGTTTTTTCTCCTTTCATTCATCAACTCTAGAATTTCCTCTGTCATCCATTCTTCTTTCTTATATTTAGTTGTTGTAAGTAGTTTCTTACTTGGCTCCAATATAGAGGTTTTGAAGAATTGCCACTGCTGCTCTACGTTGCAGTTATTTCCTGGGTTTCTGTCTAGATTTGTGTTGATTTCGTGTTTCAGATTTTCTTTTGTTTCTTCTGACTTTAGTTTCTGTATGTTAAGTTTATTGTTATTGCGGCTTTTTTGTGTCTTTTTTAGTTGAAGTTTAAATCTAGCAATAAGAAGACTATGATCAGAAGATACGTCCGCTCCTAGATATGCCTTTACTGCCTGAATTGAATTTCGATATCTGTGTTTTATTAGGAAGTAATAAATTAAAGAATGTATTTGCGGCTATAACATTGTGCTCCTGGCAAAATTCTATTAGGCGATCCCCTCTCTCGTTTCGTTCACCAAGCCCATATGGTCCTACATTAGGGTAGCATTTTCCCTCGCCAATTTTTGCGTTGAAATCACCCATGATCACTGTTACGTCTCTAGATGCTGTGAGATGTAATGTTTTTTGAAGTTCGCTATAAAAGTTTTCTATTTCTTCTTCATTTTTGTCAGCAGTTGGTGCATAAATCTGAATTAAATTCATTTTTCCATGGGTTGTCAATAAGTGCACCATTATAATTCTTTCAGATATCGGAACGAAGCCTGTTACTGATCTCGTTAGTTTTTCAGTGAGGATCATAGCAACTCCATATCTGTGTTGGGTGTCGCTGCTTCCAGAGTAATAAATTCGTCCATTGTCTGTATTGATTTCGCCAGAGCCGACCCATCTTGTATCGCTTATTCCTAATATATCGATCTCTAGTCGCATCATCTCTTGC